GTTTAGGTTTTTAAGGTTTTAAGGTTACGTACCTACCTACGGTACGGGTAGTACCGTACCTCCTCTCTCGTCGTAACTAAACTTAACGTTCGGTTGGTATTCTACTACCTACCTACGTACGTCTCTCTCTCTCTCTCTCTCTCTCTCTCTCTCTAAAATCCCTGGTCCTGTTTGTTTCTCTTTCCTTTCCCCTCTGGCTATTGTGCTTGAATTTAATCACAAAAATGGCGAGTAAGAAAAGAATGCATGAAGCCCTTTACGAAGAGCCATCAAGGCTCGATAACCAGAGGTACCCCTTAAGTAACTCTTCACCATTGAGCTTCTTTCAAAGAGCTTCCCCTTCTTCAACGCTTGATCCTTCACAGAAAGAAGGAGCTCCGATCCCCCAAGATTTATTGCTCTCTGGTTCTTCCACCCAATCTTTGATTCCCCCCAAAAAACCCACTTTTGTTTCGTATACTGAAGTATCTGGATTATCCCCAAAAATCAAAGTACTCTGTGAACTTCTCGCTGAAACCCCGTCTTCAAAGATCGAGCAGGCTTTTTGGGAAACTGGAATTAGGGTTTCTCAGGAAGATGTCGAGGAGGTATTGAAGCTCAATTATGGGTCCCCTTCACCTGCTGTTAAATTTTTTCGATGGGCTAGTACTCAACTTGGTAAGAGCCATAGCCCTCATGCTTGGAATTTGCTTGTTGATTTGTTGGGTAAAAATTGGCTCTTTGATGCAATGTGGGATGCATTAAAATCAATGAGGAAAGATGGATTGCTCTCTTTTGCCACTTTTGCATCAGTTTTTAGTAGCTATGTTAGTGCTGACAAGATCAATGAGGCTATAATGACCTTTGAAGTCATGGATCAATATGGGTGTCACCAAGGTGTTGTAGCTTTGAATTCTCTTCTGAGTGCAATATGCATAGGAAAGCAGACATCTAAAGCTTGTGAGTTTTTCGATAAGGTGAAGGCAAAAATCACCCCTGATTCCGATACTTATGCTATACTTTTAGAGGGGTGGGAAGCTGAGGGCAATGTAGGGAGAGCTAGGGAAACTTTTGGGGAGATGGTTTTGAGGATTGGGTGGGAGCCTATGAATGTTCCGGCCAATGATTCATTCCTAAACACTTTGCTTAAGGGCTCGGGGGTTGATGAAGCTTTGAAATTTTTTAAATTGATGAGGGAGAATAGGTGTTTTCCGGGCATGAAATTCTTTCGGGGCGCTTTTGATATGCTTTCGAAGCAGAACAGAACTGAGGAGGCTTGCGATTTATGGGAGGTCATACTGGGAAATGGGTTCACCCCAGATACCCTAATGTACAACTCGATGATTGGGCTTTTGTGTTATATAAACCGAATCGAGAAAGCCTCTCAGTTTATGGATGAGATGGTGTTTAATGGGGCTTTCCCCGATTTACAGACATATAATTTGATTTTCCAATACTTGGTTAGGAGTAGGAAGTTAAAAGAAGCTTCGAGTGTATTCAATGAGATGGTGAAGAATGAGGGAGAGCTTACTCACACTAATTGCTTGTTGGCGATCAGGGTTTATTTGGATTCAGGTGACTCAAACACGGCGATTAATATTTGGAAACATATGCTTGAAAAGGGCATCACCTCGAAAGAGGAATGTGGGAATTTGTTGGTTGTTGGTCTTCGAGGTAACAATAGGCTCTCAGAAGCTCGCAAATATGCCGAGGATATGATTGATAGGGGGATTGTCGTCCATTCCTCGACGTTGTCAAAGTTGAAACATGGTCTTATTAAAGTGGGTAAGGAGGATTTTTATGATCGTCTTGCGAGGAAACTGCACTACTAGCTAGAGGAACTTTGAAAAGGAAAGATATAGTGTAAAACTAGTTAGAGAGGAAATTTCTTCACAAGATTCTTTGTAATATCTGAGTTTGTATAACTCTAAAATTTGTCCCATTAAGATATAGAATTTTTGCAGTGAAAGAGAGTGGTTGCCTGTGAAAATGTAATGCTAACAAAGTAACAATATACGATGAATGGTAATCAATGAGAATAAATGCTTATGGGTATGCTGGATGGGTATTTTAGCTGAATGGGCTATCATATCGACATGCAACTTCTCTACCTGTTTATTGTGATTTGTCAATTGGATAATTTGTTCTAGAATATGTTCATTAGATTTTTATGAAATACTCCCATCTCTTCTGCTCCATTGAATTTTAAGTCCATGTATCTTTGCTTTTCTCCATGAGAGAGCTCTAAATTTAACTTGTGGGCTTTGTTCCCTTATCACCCAATTGGACTATAAAATATACATTTCCCTGTTCATTGATATGAACCAGACCCGCCAGCTTGCCAATATCTGGCTGGTGTTGTGTTGACTGAGTTTCTTGCGCGATCACTCACTGTATTCATAATAACCTACACTCCTTCAACTGCATACATTTTTTTCACTTCTGTTGTCATAGAAAAGAAAGAATGTTGCGAATGTAAATCTTGCATCTTAATTTTTAGTTTGCTTGCACTAAGATGGTGATGCCATCAGAGTTGGCTCAAGTTAGTTCATCAAGATATGTTTTTTGGGGCTCATCTTAAAGGGGTAAACTATCACTATCCACCCCCAAATTTTCAATCTTATGCAGTATTTACTTTATGGTGTATATATGTCTGCTTTCCCAAATTCTTGTATACTTAAGTTGATCAACTTCTTATGACACAGAAGTTCTGGAAAATTGCTTAATATGTCTCCTAGGGCCTCAAAATTTATTATTATTATTATTTTATATCACTCTGAAAGGAGGTCTCTTTGCTATTATAGTCTTATGCAGAATTGGACTCGTCTTTTAATGCTTTAGTTCCATTGCACCTGTTAAGTAGTCTGAAAAAACCCCAGCTATTTTAGTCTTATGGCGAGCTGGACTCTGTCTTTTAATGCTTTAGTTCCATTGCACATGCTATTTAGTCCGAGGAAAAACCCATGTTAATTACCTTCCATTTTGGTTTCCCTTAAAATTTCTCATTACTTGATATAAAACAGACAAATCTGTTTTGTGATTTAGTCAAGTGACTCTTTAAAAGGAAAGGAGTCAACTGTAAACTGCTGTATTTGATTTTTTATGTGTAGAATTATATTTATTTGAAAATCTGTTAATTGATTTTAAGTGCACGGATTTAACAAGCCTTCAAAATATCATGTTTGGGATAATATGTGAGGGCTTCACTGTCACCATTTGTTCTTGATGCTTGTTCATCTGCAACTATGTGAACCGTAATGGACTATGGTTTACGGTGCTCCTTGCTACATCCACCATCCATTAGCATGGATGGGGTTGGTGGTTAACTGTAGTGGTACTACGTGGGCTTCTACCTGAGTAAATCTCCAATCGTCCATTAGTGGAAACGGATGGTGAATGTAGCTTGACATGCCATGTCTTGTAATCCATTGCTCATACATCTTAGACAAAAAGGTTTAGAAATAAGAAATGGGGGTTTGAAAGGAGCCATGTTGCTCGTAAAAAGGTAAGAAAAAGGAGCCATAGAATATTTATTTTGGATGAAAACCTTACACCAGAATGAATGGGTTAGATCATTGTTGGAAACCGTCCGGTTAGATTGGAATCGACCACTAGCTAGTTCCAAGTTTGGTCGGTTTTGGTGATTGACCGGGTTGAAAAATATCTCAAAAAATTATATAAAATCTCAAAAAATAAGGGATTTATTTGTAATGTATTTTTTTAATGTTTTTCATCATTATGGAAAAAATTGGAAATTATTTTTGCTATTAATATTTATTTTTACGTTTTCCCATTTTTTTTGGAAAAATTAAAAAAATACACCTGGGTACAAATCGACTCTTTAAAATTCATTTTTTTTCATTAATTTTCAACTTCATTTGGATGTGATTTATTTAATCATTCTTTAAATATACTTTTTATATTTTATTAGATTTTCTTTTGTATTTTTCTTAACATTTTTTTTAACCGCATGGGACTTGCCCAGCTAAAACAGTTGAATTGCTTTCGGGACCATATCCCAGTTCGATTTTTCCTTCTTATATATTGCAGAATATGACTAAATATTGTTTGGGCAACTAATTAAAGAGAATCTAAGCTTGGAATATTCATTGTTCTTATATTCACAACAGTTGAAAGAAACCTTCCAAATAATGTGTCGAGAGAGAGAGAGAGCTTTTAGAGGATATCGTGAAATTTTCTAAAACAACAATTTAAGTGAAGAAACTATTTACCTTTTTTAAAACACATAATGAACGTTTGTCCCCAAAAAAGAGAGCTTTTAGAGGATATGGTGAAATTTTCTAAAATAACAATTTAAGTGAAGAATCTAGTCATCTTTTTTAATGCACATAATGAACTTTTGTCCCCATAAAAGAAAAGGTTGATAATAACCAAAGGAAGTAAGTTATTCCTCAGCTCTTAGGAAGAGACTAGAGAGAGATTTCTAATTCCAAAGTATCCTGATGATGGAATTGGAACAAGCAAGGCAAATGACATAATTTCCCCTCTTGGTGTAGATTCGAAGGACTTTGACAACTATACAAGTAAGGCACATATCTAAATTATGTTGGAAGATGTAGCATTACGAGAGCTTGAAAATTCATATTTCAACCCTATTCATGAAATTTAAAATTTCAAAAATCGTGCAGATCGAAGAGATATATAAACATTTGAAAATCTTGAAAATAGAAAATCGAAATAACTCATTATAAAATACATTATTTTTAGGATTTGAAAATCTTTTTTTCTTAATATCCATACATATGAAAGTGGAGATGATCAATTGGAAGGTTTATAACTTTAGAACACTCTTTTCTATTGATTTTTAAGGTGCACCCTACTTCTATATTATAAGATTGCAACTTATATAAACTTTTTTCAAAAAAAATATATTCTAGATTTGAAACCTTAAACAATCAAATGAATTTAATTTTTAGGCCATTTTAGTACAAAATCATTAAATTACCCATGTTTATTAAGAAGGTAGGTTTGTATAAGTTTGCCTTCTTACGTTGTGGAAGTAAGGCGCACCTCAATTGCTTGGAGATGTAATTATTTTGGTGTTGGAAACCTTATGATGCTTTGAAAATCTATTTTTATCCCTTAATTATAAAATTCAAAATATCAAAAGTGGTATAGATCAACCAAATCCACAAATACTTAAAATCTTGAAAATAAACAATCCATATAATTTGTTACTAGATGCATTATTTTTTGACTTAAAAATTCAGTTTTTCTTGATGTCTGTCCGTCTCTAGGTGGACACTTGGATACAATCAATTGTAGGGTTCTCCAACATCAGGACATTCTCTTCTTGAAGATTTTTGAGGTGCACCTTTCTATAAGCTTGTAACCTTATATAAACTTTTTTCTGTTTAGAATTCTTAATGATAGGCATTTTGATATTTTTGGCAAAATTTGTGGACTTATTTGCGGTGAAATCAACTTTTAAAAGTAGTTGAAATGAGTTGATGTGACATGGCATCTACGACATAATAAAAATAAAAGCATTTGTTATAAAGGAAAATATTTATAGAGAGCTGAGGCTCTAAACAATAAAATTAGAACCTACCACATAAATTTCATTAGAAGAGGTTATTTTGATACCCAAATATCTTCAAATTGATCATCTTAACAGCAAGACGTATGGACATAGAAAAAAGTGTATTACAAGTTTGTATTTTGTAACGTATTTTTGGATTGTCAATTTTCAAGATTTTCAAATTTTATAGATTTGGTATCGATGCCATTTTTGAAGCCTTAAACTTTATAAATAAATATAAAAATATGTTTTAAGGCTCTCAGAAAGATTGAAACCACATTTCTCGACTCTATTTGAAGGTAGGCTCTAATTTGATTGTTTAGAGCCTAGGCTCTATACAAACCACCTTGATTAATAATATAAGAGATAAATTAACTTCTATTTTATATCAATTTTTCTTAAAAGCCGTCCACCTTTTTGAAATTAACCATGAGAGAAAATATAAAATATAAATGTAATTGGCCAATCAATGTCAATGAATCAAGCTTAAGTTTAAACTACGAGGGCAATAACGAAAGTACTTAAGAAAACACCATAGTTTATGGTATCCACCATTTTTCAAATGCGAAGCACAGGGAACCCGCTTTCACTTTCCCTCCACCTATAAATTCCCCCCGACAATACTACTTTTTCACCCTTCATTTTCCCTCCTTCTCTCTCTCTCTCTCTCTCTCTCTGGTTTTATTCCTGCTATTTTTTGGGCAGCCATGGTGAGCTCCCCTGCAACTAACCTAACTGAGAAGCTAGGGCAAGTTCACTTGCTTCCCCCACTGCCTATTTTACCCGATTCAGAAACAGAGGAAGAGAGAGACTTCATTCTCAGTCAAGAGTTGTTCTGGTTCGCCTTCTCTCTGATGCACATTTCTTCCTATTTTTATTTAGTTTATTCTTAGTGACAGTTTAGTAGCTAGGTATTTACCTTCTGATCACAACTAAACTGAAACTTATATTTACTCTTTCCCTTTAAAAAAGAAAAAGAGAAATAGCTGGGTTGGGTAGTTGACTCACCATAATTTTCATATTATCATCTTGGGGTTTTTTTATGTGACATTTTTTTTTTCCAGTTAGGACTCAAAATATTACTTTTGCAACCACGTGTAGTTGATCTGCTTAAATATGGTTCTGGATGGACTTCCTTGAATATTCCATGTTATTGTTTTGCAGTACTCCAGACTATATAACCCCCGATGAACCACAAATCAAGTTAGATTATAACACGGTAAGGGCTTAGCTTATTCATGTGTAAGCTCAGGATTAATCTGTATGCATTTATTCTTTCATTATCACACTTCCATTTGTCTCCTCCTGGGAAAACAATTCGCCTTTTATTTTTGGTGCTCATTTTTCAGGAATATAATTTCTGCCCAAAATCTCCAGAAAAATCAAAGACGAGTAGAATCAAACGACATAGAGTAGGTAAGATGTATTGTTCTACCTCATTTTGAGTCATCAAATCATTGTCTCCTGTGAAATGGGAAAGATATATGTGTCATGTAATTCTATTAAATCAGCAAATCCATGTCTTTTCGATGGAAAGGTTTCATACTTTCATTTTGCATTTTATGTCATGCCTATTGCAAGCCCTCCAATAATGGACTCACTGGTGGGTAATATGTCACTTTACATGGAATAGATGCCTTCATATCGTCCTTGAATGTTCACAGAATCTGAAACCACTGGTTTAGTTGGTTTACTTGCAATTCTACATGCATTAGATGCTCCCCACTTCTCTTACATTGAGTTATTGATTGTATACGACAGTCGTTTTACATGGTGCAGTCATCCTATGAATTCATTATAAATGGACTTGACTCGGTCATGAGTTGAATCTGGCCTTGTCTTTTAAGGTTCAGTTAAATCTTCTGGAAAACAAAAAATACAAAATAAACGGAAAAACTCATGTTTGATAGAGATATTGAAACTGTTTGTAAAATTTGTTATGATGCCTTTGAGACATATTTAGGGTTATTCTGGGGGGACTAGTGCTGATTCCTGACAACCTTTAGAAGTTCAGAGTTTCTTTTTATTTCATTTTTATTGGTTTCGGGCTACGAAATGATGGATGCTACCCTTTGGCTGTTTTTGAGATTTACTATGCCCGTCGTTCTGGTTAAACTCTATTGATAATGTGTTCTGCGTATTGCTTCCTCTCAGAAAGTATCCCAAGTGATTCCATTGACACCAACTTACCTTGTCCTGTGGGAGTGGCTGAGTTCTGGAAGGAAAATTTTGGTTCAGAGGATTCCAAAACCCTAAAAGCACCTATGACTGAATCACAAAAGAAGAAGCATGTTTCACAATCAGCTGTAGCTTTACGCTGTCGGGTTATGCCACCGCCTTGCATCAAGAATCCTTATGCAGCTCAAAGCTTTGAAATGGATGTAGATACCATATGCCCCCAAAGATGGAGATCTGCAGGTCTAAATTCATCTTTTTCTTTATCACAAAATATTTTATGGTTCAAAGTATTTTAGTTTTACAGCGCAGTAAGATTCTCAAGAATTTTGAATAAAGGACTAATGAATTTGTAAAAATTCCTGAATCCCCACGTTTCATGGGGAAAGGGGGAAATATGCTATAAAGCACTATGGAAATATCATATTCGATTATATTATAGGAAACTTCCCCGGTAGAAACATAAAAATTGAAAAAAGCTTGAACTGCCATCACCTACAGCTAGGCCCAATAAGCTTGACTCATCTCTGAAATTGGTCATTGGTCTATCCATTTTGGTAAAAGGATTTAGCATTCGTGAGCGAGGTATAGTACTTGCATTAGTGTCTACATGACATTTTGAAGATGCTATATTTTTGTGTTTTAGTATTGACTCTTTTTTGTTTCCCAAGTATAGTGTTATCCACTCTATAGCAGGATATTCCCCTGCTATGCCACTCTTGAATTCATGGGAACCACTCCTTTTTGTTTTTTGAAATAAATTTTAATGTCAATTCCCTATAATGTTTATTATCTTTCATTGCATTGAAGAGTACCAAGTTGCAATTTTTCTTTAATTTTCTCTCCCTATCAGCTTTATCTTGTTTCACCGGTTAAAGCAATGTTGTATATGATGGCTTATAGGTTGCTTTTCCCCAGTTGTTGGTGGTGATGGCCTTTCCCGGTACCATACTGATTTTCATGAGCTTGAGGTGGTTCCTGAATCCATAGGGTCTTGTGAGATATGTTCATGGTTCTTTTTACTTTTTGAGTAAACTTTCTGAGTCTTTCCTATAGCATATAATTTCCTTCTTTACAGGAAATTGGTCGGGGGAATTTTAGTCGGGTTTTCAAAGTTTTGAAGAGAATCGATGGCTGCATGTATGCGGTCAAATACAGCATAAGGCAGTTGCATAATGACACTGAGAGGTAATTTCTTCACCTTATTTTCATGCCTTCATTCTGCATAACTGTAATATTTAACTGCTACTGGTGACTTCGCAGACGGGAGGCTTTAATGGAAGTACAAGCTCTAGCAGCCTTAGGTATTCATACATTAAACCCCTACTCTCTCTTTAAAGTCTCTATGAGAATTATGTAGCATTTCTCATATCTATAGACACTTCATCTCAAATACTTTTATGTAGATCTATTTGTTTGCTACTCACATGCAGGATTTCATCCAAACTTAGTTAGTTACTATTCGTCATGGTTTGAGAATGAGCAACTCTACATCCAGATGGAGCTTTGTGATGGCAGCCTGTCAATCCATAATTCCAGCTCTGCTTTGCCTTATGAGGGAGAAATCATCAACGTCATGCGACAGGTTATATAATTAATTATAATTGCATCTGTCAAGAAGTAAAGAAGGTTTATGATCATAAACTTCTTATTGAAAAACACCTTTCAATTTACGATTCCTAAAAGGATTTTGGTCTCTGTTTTGATGTGGTATTGGTTGATGTTTTATTTTCTCAATTAGCATCACACCATTTCATTTCCTGACTTTATTGATGTGTGGTGGTAGCTGACCCTAAATAGTTTGGATGAAGCTCTGATGATGATGATTGATGTGTGATGGTGTTTGAATTTTTTTCCCAATTAGAAACACATCATTTCATTTCCCGGCTGAATTGCAATTTGGAGTAATGTAAAATTTTGTCTCTTTCAAGCGGGCCATAAGAGGGGTTTTATTTTCATATCTGAATTGATTACCAATTGCAACTGGGCTCCAAAATTGTATTTTTTACAAAACTAATTGGAGTTGCCTTTCAGAAGATTCAAAAACTATTACCACCATCACGAAGCTACCATCACCACAAAGCTACCACCACCGCCGCTGCCGCCGCCGCAATCACAAAGCTAGCACCACCATGCTGCTACTCTATCTGTTCCTCCATTGCACCACCTTGCATTGCTGCCACCAATACCGCCACCATCACACCATTGCCATTTGCATCACACAATAACAAATGACAATAAAACAATCAGACACTAGACAGCAAATTTGGTCACTTACAATTTGAAAAGAAAATGCTATTTGGCAAAATTTATAATCATTTTGTTCCTAAATCTCTGAATTTTTATATCCTACTAATGATTTTTGCCATGATTTATAGATTGCCCAGGCATTGCAGTTCATACATGAGCGTGGAATTGCCCATTTGGATGTAAAGCCCGATAATATCTATGTTAAAAATGGTATTTACAAGCTTGGGGATTTTGGTCAAGCTACCCTTATTAATGGTAGTCTTCCTATTGAGGAAGGAGATGCGCGCTATATGCCATTGGAGATTTTAAATGATAAACATGACTACCTTGACAAGGTTGATATTTTCTCTTTGGGGGCCTCCATATATGAGCTTGTGAAAGGATCACCTCTACCAACATCTGGTTCTCAGTTCTCTATGATTAGGGAGGGGAAGCTCTCTTTGCTCCCTGGATATTCTCTTCAGTTTCAGAATTTATTGAAGGTAAGATGCATGCCTTTCTTTAGTGTTGATTCTTTATGTTTCCTATTTTCGTTTTTTTTAACTGCATATAAAACATTCCTTTCTCTTATAGATCAAAATTGTGCCCCAGAAACAGCAAACACATGTATAAGTTTGGAACTATTCCTAAATTGCAGTGATTCTAAACTCAAATAGTACGATTGTTGATCTATTGTCTACTACAAAAAGGACTTATAATGCTGCCCACCTATAGGGGATTTGGGCTTTATGTTTGATGACTATACTTATCCCAAAATTTCACCTTTTTGAAATAGTAAACCAGAAGCCTGGAAGAAGTAATATCAAGGATGAGTTAGTGGTTTTGAACTTGAGAAAAACCATGGAAAAGAAAAACTGTATAATGGATGCCCAGAGAAAGCACATATGTTTTCCAATAAAAAAGGGCACATTTATTTTCAGCTGCATGCATATATGATAGAATCCTCTCTTGCATTTTATATTATAGAAGAACATCTTGAGAAAGCTTTCTTCTCATCTATGCGAGTTATTAGCAGTTCAGGGACATTTCTCTTTTTGGCTCTAGTTGATTTAGTATTTCTGCGTACCATATGCTCTGTCATATGGATGCTTCTTAGCCTTGGGCACTGTTGCCTTTTCCAACTTTTCTTTTTAGGAAAAGAGGTTCATGAGAATTAAGAAAAGAAAAAGAAAAAGAAAACATGAACATGTATGCTGAGAATCTAAACATTGCATTTTCTCATGAAGTGTAAATCTCGTTTGTGCTGCTCATGTTTTGTTTGTAAAAGTATTCAACTGAACATAAAATAATGGCAATGTGTATGTTCTTTCAGATGTTGATGGATCCAGATCCAGTAAAGCGGCCTTCCGCCAAGGAATTGCTTGAGAACGCCATCTTTAAGAATCATAGTTCTACTCGATGCAAGTGACTTGGTTGCTTGAAGTCTTGTATATTACAAGCAACCAGTTTGGTCGCTTTCAACTTAAACAAATGAAAAATTGGAGAATCAAAGGAGAGAGAGAGAGAGAGAGATCTGCGCATTTTGGGGATGTGGGATTCAGTGGTTGAGAGCATATCAGTGTGTCTCCTTTGCACCATGGAGGGAAAGGTGTGCAAGTTTTGTAAAAAGTAACATTTCCTTGCTTTTTGTAAAATGTAAAGCTTTGCAAATATTTAAACATGTATTACTCGTTGATCATTATGCAGCTCTTAAATTTCCAAATACTTCTTTGGAGATATTTAGATTAGTTGTTTTTGAAAATTTTTCTAAAAAAAGCATACATCTCATTGAGGAATGAAAAAAAATAGTATAATGTGATCTATATGGTCATTATAATAACAATGATCCCGTGATTTGTTTTTTTTTTTTTATAACGTTTCAAATTTATTGATAATAGAGCAAATTACAAGATGTTCAAAACATTATTTGCAGTTACAAGCGCCTCCAAACTAAAACCCCTTTTGGCTGGGGAATCAGCTACATCGTTGACCTTCCTATACACTTGAGTCACAGTTACCGTCAATTGAGATATTTGCTCGAAAATTTGAAACCCAATGACTTTAATTGCCAAGGAAAGCGTTAATTCTTTTTTGCACCATTTAATGACATTCATCGAGTTCCTTTTTATAACAACACCTTTAAGTGTTCCTTGCAACAAGTAATTTCAAGCCTTGCAACAAGGTTTGGAGTTTTGCATGATTTGTTGTAGCAACCCCATGGCCCATCAAATGCGATTATGACTCGTCCTTGCCAATCTTAAACGACACCACTAATCCTAGTTGGCCCTGGATTGCCCAATGAGCTTCTATCAAAGTTCAGCTTTAGCACTCCTTGCTCTGGTGGCTTCTATTTGGTGCAATTTCTAAATTTTGGCACGTCCAAAAGAAAAAGATTTGAGAGGTTAATAAAAACATTCGCCTTAGATAAACCCCGACTTATCTTTGTAATAGAAAGCCACGACCATATAGAGATTTTGATATTGTTTAACGCTCTATCAAAATTCCAGACTCTCCATTCAAAGGTTCTCTTGTTTCTCTCTAGCCACACTTCCCAAATAATAGCACTGTGCAGAATTTTCTAGATAGAGCTTCCAATTTTCGGTAAGGGTACCTCCAATTGGGTAATTAGGTCCACCACATTTTGTGGAAAAGTAAGGTTTATCCCTAGCAATTGAAAGCATCACTACCAAAATTTGGAAACAAATGAACAATGGATAAACAAATGTGCCTCACTCTCGTCATCTTTTTACACATCAGGCATACATTTGTGATAATCTTCTCTCTTTTTATGAGATTATCCACCGTTAGGATTTTATCTTGAGCAGTTAACCATAGGAAACTTTGTATTTTATGAGGAATAGGCCATTTCCATATTTGCTTAATCTTTGGGAGAGGCCACCGTACTTATCAAAGAAAAGTAATCTATAGAATCACTTGACAAAAAATTGGCCATCATTTTCAAATTCCCAAAAGATCTCATCCTCATTGTGTTGCAAAATGAAAGTTTGCTGGAGATCTTTAAACAGATTGAGAAGCTATATATAGAGAAGGCTATGAGAGTGGATGACATTTGACTCAGGACCCGTTTGTTAGGTGGAACATGCGCCTCCGAAGCAATGTCTTCAACTACGTTTCACAGTAGCTTTCATGGGGGTCCACAGATATATCATTTCCCATTTTCAAACGTGGGAAATGCTCCAGTTGATGGAACACGTTGCTTTGATAGCTATTTTTCCATCGACCAAACACGCCCTTAATTACATACTTAATAGGAACCACTCTTCTTCTTTTTTCATTAAAATCCAATTTTTCATTAATGAAGTTTAGGGGCTTAAGTCTAGAATCCATGGAATGGTATTGGATTTTAGTGGTCTTTTTTGGGAAAGTCCTCTATGATGAATATGATCCATAAGATCACATTAAAAGTAACATCCGAATCGATGCCTAGAGTATTAAGCATGTCTACCGAGAGGCCAACTCGGTGACCAATCACTTGGCCAAGAATGCTACAAGTCTCTCTAGGGCCACAGTTTGGTGTGCCCAGCCACCTGTTTTCATTTATCCTCTAATCGCTTCTTGTATGGCCAGGATTTCTCATGAAAGAACTATACCATAAACTCTTTTATACAATTCTTACTTATTAATGAAAAATGGGTAGGGGTCCAAATTCCCATTGACTTACCAAAAAAATAGATCCGTGAAGTCTTAGGAGCTATCTTAAGATCATCATGGGCCTATTAAGTCCCTGTGAAGGTGTATTTTGGAAATACAAGAGAAAAATAAATACCTACATAAAATTGAAAAAGATATAGGGTTTTTGAATTGTCGATAAAAAAAAGTGTTATTTTTTTATGATTTTCCAAAATTTATTATTTTATAATACTTATATTTTTCAACCAAATTATTGAATAATTAATTGTAAATTACTTATATTAATTGTAAATTTTATAATACTTATATTTTCTAATTGTCTTTTTGTGAATTTTTTTTGTATTTTTAATAATATAATTTTAAACAATTTATTGTAAATTTTGATAACTTTTTCATCTTTTATATATATTTTCTATTGTTTTTCATATTTATTATTATTATTTTTAAGCCATTGTCAAGCGCAGCATAGACTCGGACGAGCGACTCATCCCGAGTAACTCGGCCAGGTGATAATTAAGGTGAGCTGAGTGAAGGAAGCTTTTTTAGGGTAATTAAAAGAACCTTAATAGGTGCATATACAGAACATGTCCTTGATTCTAATTTTCTTTCTCATCCCAAGATTAGAAAGGAAAATTTTATCCCAAGATTAGAAAGGAAAATTGTTGTACGCGTCGGGCACACATTCCTAAATTGAAGTCCTCAAAGGCATAAAACACCCATGGATGCAAATGGTTGGTCCCGCCAAAAAAATATTTTCTCATAAAATCATCTATTCAGTTTTCAAACTTAAGTCTTTTTTTTTTCTTTAACATATTAATGATCTCCACGTTAAAATTATGAGTAATGATCTTATAGGATCCTCCCCCATCCATGTGTGTAGGACCTCAAAAGATCACCATTAAATTTGCTACGGATCTTTAAAAAAGTTATCACATGAAGGTAAGACTTAATTTTTTTATAGATCCGTATCGAATTTAATGGTGATCCTTTGAGGTCCTATACACATGGATGGGAGAGGGTCCTATACGATCATTTCTCTAAAATTATACATTCTTTGGTCCAAAGTCCATTTAAAAAATGGGATTTTAAGAGGGGATTCGATTCCAAATATACGTACTAGGATTCATAGAAACTTTGTACCATTAGAAAAGATGGATATGTCCTTCACTTCTGTGGAAAATGCAGTGACATGGTGGTTACAACTTGCAACTCTGCAAGAGACCACTTCCCAATGCAAAATAGTGCGTGAATTAGACAAGCTTTTGCTTAAAGCATGAAGGAATGATGCGGACGAGTATTGTGTCCATGGATCTTACACAAGCAAGTCCCCATCTCCTGTTGACAAAGAGAAGTATAATTGTTCTCCACAAACCAATAACATAGCCCAAACCAACACAAGCATAAAACATGGGACTTGTATCCGCCCATCCTTCTCTCTCATCTCCATCTTCTCCCTCATTATTATTTAATGTGCTTGAGGTATTGTGAGATATGGCGTTGGAGCATCCCACTCCTTGGAGAGAATACAGTCCAGGGTTGCCACCGCAAGAACTCTCATTGAATGTGCAAAATTGTGTCCCACTTGGTATCCAATCTAATAGATTGTTATTCGCGACGGAGAACATGGACAAGCGGGCGAGTTTTTCTAGTTGAGGAGGTATTTGACCCGAGAGCTCATTGTGAGAGGAGTTGGGGAGTGGCCCCGTTAGACAGTCGTTGGAGAGATTTAACATCTTGAGTGCTTTCAATGGCCCCATGTCTGGTGGAAATGGGCAACTTAATTTTTTGCCAGACAAATCCAATCCAGTCATGTATATAAGAGCATCCCCAGTAAAACTGTACATACGGCCCTTGGTAAATTTCACCTCTCCTTCTTCACCAATTAATATTGATATGGTGTTATTAGGACTGGCGATAACAGATGAGTTAACACCAAGAGTACTGAACACAGCCGATAATGCAGAAATATTATGAAAGCAAGGTGGTATGGGACCATGAAGGTTATTTTGAGCAAGGTTCAGAATGGCCAGGTCTTGTAGTTGACATAAAGTAAATGGAATACTGCCCATAAAATGATAACCTCTTAAGTTTAATACTTGCAAATTTGTTAGTTTATTTAGTTGTGCTGGAATGGCTCCTGACATGTTATTGTTTGCAATATCTAGAGCTATTAGGGATTGACTACGCAATAAGAGATTTTCAGGTGTAGTTCCACTCAACGCATTGCCATCGAGATGCATCGATTGTAAAGCTTGAAAGGTTGAAACATTCAGACACCAAGGGCCCCTTCAAGTAGTTGTTAGACAACCCTAAATATTTGAGTCGATATGCACGAGTCAAATTACAGGGTAGTCTTCCAGTGATTTTGTTGTTAGATAAGTTCAGGATTTCAAAACGATATGTTGAGGAGGGCAAATTACCTGTCATATTATTTGCAGACAAATCCAACATGAGCAATTGCTTGAGGTTGTTGATATAATGAGCAATATTCCCATGAAGAGAATTATTAGAGATTTTTAATACCATGAGACATGGAAAATAGATGGAGAAGTTTTTTGGTATCTCCCCACTTATTTGATTATCAGAGATATCCAACTACTGGGGGCTAGAGGGTGTGTTTTGGTAAAACAAGGTTCCCATCCAAATATAGTTCTGTTTGTGTAGATTGAAGTAACCATGGGGGAATAGGCCCGCGAATGTTGCTCTCTTAAGTTCTTTTGAGTGGAGAGGAAGCTTGGAATGTTCAGGTCAAACTTACCCATATCACATCTATGAAGATCGAGGCTGGTGAGCTGGAAAGAAGGAGTGTCGTTTGATGGCAAGACGGTCAGCTTGGTGTTATAGGAAAGATCAACATATTCGAGTTTAGATAGGTTTGAGAAGGTGGAGAATGAGAAATTACCCCATAAACCATTATCACCTAAGGACAACAATTCCGACTGCCTAGCTAATGGAGGATGGAACCCTGTATGTGATTCTTGGGGAGGAAAAGGAATCGAATAGCAGAGAGGTTGCCCAATGCTGCTGGTATGCTGCCTACAAGTTTATTGTCACTTGGCCATAGTTGTAGAGGCGGGTGAGGTTGCCCAAACAAGAGGGTATGACCCCTTCCAATTCATTACCGTCCAGTGCAAGGTCCTCTAGAAATTGCAGGGTGCATAGAAATGGAGGGATACTCCCATCGAGTTGGTTATCGCCCAACCAGAGTGTCTTCAGATGGCGCAAGTTACCCAAAGCTGAAGGTATGCTTCCATGGAGCCTGTTCCCGTCTTAGTTCAGTACTTGGAGGGAAGAAAGCAGACCTACCTCCTTAGGAATAGGCCCCTGAAAGTAATTTCCAGACAAATGTAAATCCTTCAAATTCCTCAATTTTGAGAACTCTGCAATCACAATAAGGACAAAGAATGTAAGAAGTCGATTTGTAATAAAGAAGTCATTAATTGTGTGCAGTGGCAAGTAAATTATTGAAGCACTAAGCTCTCTTTCGAGTAAAACAAAGGAGCCAAGACATCACCTACCTTTGAAGGGTAGCTCGCCACCCAAATCGTTTACATTCAAATTCAAGTAGCTCAGCTGGTGTAGTCGAGTTAAAGATGTGGCATTCAGGTAAACCCTCCTTGAGTTAGCTTCATTTCGAACCATACTCAAATCTAGACTCACCACATGAGAAGTGGCGTTGTGCCACTCCACTCCATACCAATGACAACAATTGAGCCCTTTCCATGACTCCAAAATTTTGACCCCTTTCGAGGTGTCATTTGGGTGGATGAGAGAAGCTCTGAGCCACCCTCTCGTGCTCATGGCACAATTGCGAAGAATAAGCAGAGATAGTGAACAAAAAGAGGATCAGCAGTAAAAGAGAGGAGACAATGGGAGATGTAATGAATGCAAAGCGGCAGTAGGCCATGATGTAATACTTTGCTTCAACTTGGATTTATTGAGAAGCTATTTGCTTGGGTTTTATAAGGGAAAGAGTTATACAGTGTGAATGTGATTTCCTCCTCCGTTTTCCTCTCTGCATTCACACAAATGGGTTTCGAAATCGTATGGCAATCGGTAAGATATGTATTCTATCTCTATGTGTAAATATGGAATGTATGGGTAGTTAAGATAGTGAGAAGTTATCTCTCACTTCATATAGGTAATGAGCAGTTATCGAACAAGTAGGTAGTGGGTAGTTTTGTTGTATGCTTATATATATATATATGGGCTCCGGGTATTCAAATGTGTGTATGTGGTTGTAGATAGAAGCAACTTGAGTGTGTGTGGAAAAACTTGAGTAAATGATGAGTTTAGTGTTTATCTCTCCATGAGTATGTGCGTGCGTGTTTTTAATTATCAGTTCCTTATCCAAAAACTTGCAACATGATATCAAAGCCTTATCTATATAAAAGAAAAAAGATAGATGCGAAGAACGCAGGTTGTGCAAAAAATGATAAGCATCAAGACCAAGTAGTCAAAAAAATAAGAAAAGATAGACATTCACAAGGAGAGCCCAAGTTGAGGATAGGCATTGGAGAGCCCAGGTTACGAAAAAGGAGATCACGTGTTGCCAAAGAAATTGGTGTAGAAATTTAATCCAACATATCAGAAACAAAATTCAAGAGAAAGGTGATAAAAATTAAAATCTCTTTATTTAATTTCCTGTTTTATTCCATATGGTACACTACAGTAGTTCAAATATTTTTCAACCATCGATTCCAATTTTTAGAGTTGAATTTTATGAGTATTGGAAAATTAAAATAAAAACAATTTTCGGGTTTTGATTTTTTTTAAAAAAAAGGGTGATTAAAAAAACAAAAATAAAATATTTTGATTAAAATGTTAGGTGATTGGCAATGAAAAAAAAAAAAAAGGAGGAAAGATTTTTTTTTTTCTTAAATGTGATGTTCTTGGAAAAGAAGATGGAGATTTAAAATAAAAATAAAAATGGGGAAATAAAATTGGAGAGCTCTTGATGTCATATTTTTGCAAAAGTTTTCAGAAAATGAGATTTAAAAAAAAAAAATCTGAAATGGGGACATGAGTAGTCCTCATGGGAAATTCATGTCTATGTAGGCACAGGAAAACTAAAAAATAATTTTTGGAAAAGAAGAAAAACAGGGCACCGTGGTCATCATGCTATGGAAATGCATGATAGAAATCCATGCTTAGTGTAAGCATAGAGAAAATGATTTTTGAAAAAATAAAAATAAAACATCGAAGTCCTAGTTGTATGCCATGGAAAGGTATGATGATGCCGTGAAAAAGCATGAATGTGCCTAATGAGAAGGCATAACAAAGAAATTGTGTTTAAAAAAATAAGACATTGAAGTCCTAGTTTGTCGTGTCATGAAAATGCATGATGATGTCATAAGGAGGCATAAAAAAAAGAAAGAATTGTGTTTTCTTGTTTTTTTTAAAAAAAAAAAGGAAGAAGAAAGAAAGGATAAGAAGAAAAACGAAGAAGAAGCAATTGCAAGAAGCAAGAAGAAGCCAAAAAAAAAAAAAAAAGTAAGAAGAAAAAGAAACAAGAAGCAGAAGAAGTAAAAAGAAACAAGAAGCAAGAAGAATAAAATTTTAAAAAAAAGTTGAAATTTTTCATCAAGGGGGAGTTTTAAAAAGATGATGCAAAAAAAGTAGAATGTATGGGTAGTTAAGATAGTGGGAAGCTATCTCGATCTCTATGTAAAAGTCGAATGTATAGGTAGTTAAGATAGTGGGAAGCTATCTCTCTCTTCACATAGGTAGGTAGTGAGTAGTTTTGTTGGAAACGCCTATATATATGGGCTCCATGTAGTGAAATATATGCATGTGGTTGTAAATAGAAGCAACTTGAGTATGTGTGGAAAAACTTGAGTAACGCATGAATTTTGTATTCATCTCTCCATGAATATGTGAGTGTATGTTTTTAATTATCAATGGTATCAGTGCCTTATCCAAAAACTTACAACATGATATCAAAGCCTTATCCATAAAATGTTAATTATCAGTGGTACATGTGCTTTATCCAAAAACTTGCAACATTGTATCAAAGCCTTATCCATAAAAATTTCAATATAGTATCAGAGCAGGTTATGAAGAGCGCAGGTTGTGAAAATAAAAGAAAAAAGAAAAAAAGATAGGTGTGGAAAGCACAGGTTGTGCGAAAAAAAAGATAAGCATCAAAACCCAAGTTGTGAAAAAAAAAGAAATGATAGGCATTCACGTGGATAGGCCAAGTTGAGGATAAGCATTGGAAAGCTCATGTTACCAAAATGTAGGCCTTTGAGAGCCCAGGTTGCCAAAAAAGGAGATAAAGGAGATCACAGTTTGCCAAAGAAATTGATGTAGAAATTTAATCCAATAGGTTATAAACAAAATTCAAGGGAAATGTGATAAAAATTTAAAATCTCTTTATTTAATTTCTTACTTTATTCCAAATGGTACACCACAGTAGTCCAAATATTTTTCAAATGATTCCAATTTTAAGAGTATTGGAAAATTAAAATGAAAACAATGTTTGGGTCTTGATTAAAAAAAAAAGGGTGATTAAAAAAAACAAAGTAAAAATATTTTGATTAAAATGTTAGGTGATTTGGAATGAAAAAGAAAAACAAAAGAAAAAGAGGAAAGATTTTTTTTTTTTTCTTAAATATGATGTTCTTGGAAAAAGAAGATAGGGATTTTAAATAAAAATAAACAAAAATGGGGAAACAAAATAGGAGAGTTCTTGATGTCGTATTTTTGCAAAAGTTTTCAGAAAATGAGATCTAAAAAAAAAAAAATCTGAAATTTATGAGTAATCCTCATGGGAAATCCATGCCTATGTAGGTATAGGAAAAATGAAAAATGATTTTTGGAAAAGAAGAAAAACAAGACACGGCAGTTCTAGTATGTCGTGACATGGAAATGCATGATCGAAATCCATGCCTAGTGTAGACATAGGAAGAATGATTTTTGAAAAAATGAAAACAGGACATCGCAATCCTAGTTTGTCATGCCATGGAATGCATGATGATGCCATGAAAAGGCATGAAGGTGCCTAATGAGAAGGCATAACAAAGAAATTGTATTTAGAAAAATAAGACATTGAAGTCCTAGTTTGGCATGTCATGAAAATGCATGATGATGCTATAAGGAGGCATAAAAAAAAGAAGAAAGAAATGTGTTTTTTTTATAAAAAAAGAAAAAAAGAACAAGAAAAAAGAAAGAAGGAGAAGCAAGAATAAAGAAGAAAAAGCAATAGCAAAAAACATGAAGCAAAAAGAAAAAAGGTTGAAGAAAAAGAAACAAGAAGCACAAGAAGAAGTAAAAAGAAACAAGCAAGAAGAAGAAGAATAAATTTAAAAGAAAAAGATGAAATTTTGCATCACGGGCAAGTGTTAAAAAGATTATGCAAAAAAAGTAGAATGTATAGGTAGTTAAGATAGTGAGAAGTTATCTCTATCTCTCTAAATAAAAGTGAAATATATAGGTACTTTAGATACTAGAAAGTTATTTCTCTTTTCACATAAGTAATGGGTAGTTATCCGACATGTAAGTAGTGGGTAGTTTTGTTGGAAACACACGCATATATTATTGAAATGTATGCCTGCAGAAAAACTTGAATAAAGCATGAGTTTTGTATTTATGTCCCCATGAGTAAGTGAGTGTGTGTTTTTAATTATCAGTCATATCATATCAAAGCCTTATCCATAAAATTTCAACAGTTCGATTATTTTTTTGTTCTTAAGTGCAGCTATTGTGAAGGCTGCCTGTATGAAACTACTGGGTTTATGAGTTTATGTTTTTATGAGATCTTAGCCATTAAGAGGTTGGAAAAAAGAGCGTTATATGGAATCTTAAGAGGTGATATGATCGATAATCACTTGGTTTACTCTCTTTTATATTCCATGTGGCACTTGTCTGTCTCTTGTGGGACATTGTCCAGTGGTAAAATACAGATCCTGTTTTTTCTGAGTAATTGAGAGAGAAAGAAGAAGGTAACGAGAGAGAAGACAAATTCGTAGAGCGAGAAACCTAATTTTAGTCTTTTTGGAACTTCTTAAGAGTTTTGTCTTTCTCACCCAGCAGTACGAATGGGCGGTAATTTCTTGGCTCACTCTCTCTTCCTCAATACAAATCTCATCTCTCTCTCTAAACACTGGTCCAGAGAGAGAAAGTGGCTCTTCTCCCTTCCAAAGTTCACTGTGAAATGTACTCAATGTAGAAAGATGCAGGCTTTCAGTTCCTAAATTTCTAATCTTCACAGAGACAAAGCGACTACGCAGCAATTTTGTCTCTCTGCATGGAAACAAAAAGCAGTCGGTCTCTCTCTCTAAACACTGTTCTAGAGAGACTGACGCTAGAAGACCAACCACAGGAAGACACTCGGGAGCTCAATTTCCAGAATGTCAAGTCTAGTCTAGTCTTGGGAGAGAGAAAGCCACTCTGCAATAATCTTTTCTCTCTCAAAGATGTGGGCTTTCAAATCTTCTTCTTTTTTTTTTTCTTTTTTTTTTTTTTTTTGGTGCGGTTTGTATAGATCCAAGGTTTTAAACAATAAAATAAAAAAAAAAACCCTTCAAATAGTGTCAAGGTTTCAATCTGGAAATCCTTTTGGTGCAGTGTGTATAGAGCTAACCTTCAAATAGTGTCAAGGTTTCAATCTGGAAATCCTTTTGGTGCAGTGTGTATAGAGCTAAGGTTCTAAACAATAATAAAAAAAAAAAATACCTTCAAATAGTGTCAAGGTTTCAATACTGTTAATCCTTGTGATAGCTTTAAATTATATTTTCATTTTTAATTATAAGAAAATTTTTATATAAGGATGCAACCTTATAATGTAGAACTATAGATGCACATAAAAAATCCAGCGGAAAATATAGTTTTAATGTTGAAAAACCTTTTGATTGATCTTCTCGACATCAAGATGTCTGACCATGAAAGAAAAAAAAGATTTTAAGTCTTAGAAATAGTGCATTTTTCAACATATTATCTACACCGTCCATTTTCAAGATTTTCATATGTTTATAGATCTACTTGATTTTAACCATTTTTTAAAATTAAAATTTTATAATTAGATATACAAATAGATTTTGAGATAATCCTAAGAATATTTTACATCAAAATTATATATCATGATAAAATTTGAAAGCGCACCTTACCTCTATAGCTACGAATGCATCCGTATGCCAACTGCACCCTTAATATATTCATATTTGTATACTATTTATGTATTATACATATATGATAAAAAAATTTATCGTTCCTTTATCTAGAAATGGGCCCGACCTATCCCATCAGGTCGGATCCACGCCAACTAGGACCCTGACCTGACAGGACCCGGCCCATTCATAACCCTACCCAAAATAACCACGATGAGTTCTATGCATTTCAATATACAATGATAGCTTCTATTATTGCAAAATTCAGTTTTTTTTTTTTTCCTTCTTTTTTTTTTTTTTATTTGTGAAATTTATTTTTGTTTACCATGAACCCATGTCTCTTTCTTACTGTGGAAGATTGCTACTTCATTGCCAGATAAGAGAAGAAATAAATGGACTTCGCTTAATTCCTACTTGGAACCTTATCTCTATCATATCCTGTTATAGTTCTACAAAAAAATTCTTATCTTTATTATTTTTTTGTGTGTGTGTTTTATGTGAAACCCCTTTTTTTACTTTTTATTTATTTATAGATAGCTTTTTATGAATTATGTTGGCCTACTCTACTTATTTTCATTGGCCCATGGTTGTGAAGAATCAGCCATTCTTTGTTGTTCTCTCTCATATCTCAACCAAAAAATTTGACATTTCTTTCAAATAATTTGTAGTTGATCCCACAAGCCATTTATAAATTTGATTGATCACAAGTACAAAATCTAAAGAGATCTAACTCAATTTTTATTAAGAAAAATGCCTCAAATATTTGAATATATTTTACTTCATTATAAATAACTCATATCATGTTCAATTTTGTTATCGTTTATGCCCCTGATTGAATTAACTTGATTTAGATATTTTTTTTCATTTTTTAACCTGATTTATAGTTAAATTGTCATTTTCTTACTCAGTTATTTTATGCCTTGGAATTTAAAGAAATTTTATTTTTATATATTATGGTCTAATTTTCTAAATTATTTTTTCTAGATCATGTTACAAAATTTATATAGCTTTTCTTGTTTTTGTTTTCCCCTCTTTTTCATTAATTTTTATTTTTGTGCTTCATTTAGCTTTTTTTTTTTTTTGAAAAACTCAATTTTTCAGAAAAAGTTATTCAATTATTATTTTTTAATTTCCATTCCTTGATTAATCAACACTTAGACAATGTGTATTTTTATTATTTTTAATCATAAATATCGTGTATTTGTCAAAATATACAATATTAAAATTTAGTCCATTTTATATTGTAAGATGACTTTGTTAAAGGAAACAAATCTTGGTATTCGTACTCGTTTGATAATTTCATCAAATTGTGCAACAAATTTGTCAAATTTTTTATTTGTAGATTAATTCAATTTGATTTTGAAGACTTTTTTGAATATTTTTAAAAAAATTTACTGGTTCAATTTGCCCGAACAAGTCAAACCAATCAAAGTTGAGCCCGTTTAATAACACTAATCAGTTTGCCCGAACAACTAGGAAATAGCGGGTAGCCGGTTTGACCACCCAATCCGATTTTTTAAATATTAATAACACTAATCAGTTTCTTTTTTTGGATGTTAACTTGTGGATATTAATTCATTTTAAAAATTGCACAAGTGAATCCATACAAAATTAGAACTTATTGGCTATAAAGAAATGATCTAATTGAGACCAGGAAATCAGCATCATTGTTGCATTCTTTGAAGCAATGCATAAATATCACTTCATGCCCAATCAGTGCCCAATTTTTACTGTTGCATATCGATCTTTTCATCCAAGGATTCAAAAGTCGGACGCATCTGATTCGCCTCGGCCGAGTTACTCAGACGTTGATCTTTGCTAAGCTGATAACCTAGGTGCAACTCGGGGCATTTAAAGAATTAATAAATATCATAAAAATATATAAAAATGTGGAACTAGTGCATAAAATTACATATGTAATCCCGATTTTTTGTTACCATGACTTTTGAGTTTTTTTTTTTTTTTTAATTAAATGCATTGCTTTTACCTTTTTCTCTTTTATTAGATTTTTTAAAACGTCTCCAACTTTCAATGGATTCTTTCTAAATCCATGCTTGGATAAGCACACGAGGAGAGAGAAAGTGAGAGATACAAGAAAAAAGAAAAAAAGGAGTTTGAGATATATAAGTGAAGAGCGAGAAGAGATTGGGTTTAAAAATAGCATGCCTTTCTCACATTTGTTTAAGTTAAAAAATAGATTTAAAGTGGCTAACGGGTTAGAAGATATCCTTTTAAACATTTGGTTTATTAAAAAATTAAAACCTAAAACCATGTGATATAGAGATATTTTCCTTACTTTTAATACTCATCGTATTTTCACCATCATACTGACGCTACTCACTTAACCCTAAAAAAGGGTCTTTAGTCTTCCTCAGGATAGGCCACCATTGAAGTTTCAAGGGATATTAACATTTAACCAAAACGTCCCTAAATCCAATCATGTATGTATCTATTGTTAAACGACATTATACTCCCACATGAGTATACTATCCATTTACTCTTTCAAATAAAAACTCATCCAAGATTAATTTTAGGACCTTAAATTTTAGGGATGTAAACTCTTCGACCTATAGATTACTTTCCTAGTTTCGCCCTCTATGGGCATAAAAAAGATAAATAACTCGATATTGAATAGAGATGGTACAAATCTAAGAGGGTGAGATCAAGTACTAGAAACTCAATTTTCAATTTTTTTTTTCTTTTGAGAGTAATCATCTAATTATTTTCTAGGTGGTTCCCAATATGTGAGAATGAAAAAAAATATTCCCAAGCAAATCTTCAGACCGAGGGAGTAGATGGACACTACGCTCCCACAAGAGCATAGTATACACGCTCCTATCTATTTTTTAAGCATATATAGCTGCGGACGCAGTTTCTACGAGTCCACAGATTTGCATGTAAAAATGCGGGCCCATTGATAATTTACTTTTGAAATAGAATTTGATTCTAAGTTTGTAGGAAATACATAATCTTTAACATGGAGATTATTAATCTGTTAAATTTTATAAATTAGAAATGATACTGTGGAGAAAATATTTGAACTGCAGATTTAAGTTTTTCTTTGGAGAACCATCATTAACCGGACCCAATTTTGGTAGACAGTGTAGATCTCCGAGCCCACATAGTAACAGGTGCGGGCTTGGACATACCAAACAATTTTCCTTTAGATGCACCTATTATTACTCATAATTCACTACTAGGGTTAACTCCTCTCTAGAATCCACATCTATAAAAATGTGTGAGATAGATTTTTTTTTTGGAACTCCCTATATAACTCCTACAGAAGGTGTAAATCTTTCTCCTAAAAAAAAAGTGGGTACATATGGTTAAGGGTATGCCATTGACTCAACTCAAAACTGGAGAGATTTTTTATGATATAAAGCCATCCACATGTTTTCACAACTGACGTCCAAGGGAAACCTAGCTTTTTTATACTGAAGATAAATGGTGTATAGCCTGCTATCCCTATTGTCATGTACATAGGTGTTGTCAGTATGGTAGAGGAGTGTGGCAAGTGTAAACCCCTAAGAAGAGAGCCAGAAGAGTAGAATATTGTAAATCTCATGAAACTTAGGCATTACTTGCCAAAACAACAAATAAAAAGAGAGAGAGAGAGAGAGAGAGAGAGAG